TCTGCTCATCCTGGTGCCTCCTCTGGACTCTCCAACATCTCAAGGTCCTGCCTGTGCTGGGAGCAGAAGAATACCACTGGAAGGGTTTAAAAGCCTTGGGAATGTGGCACTTGGGGACATGGATTAGGGGTGAGCATAGAAGTGTTGGGGCAATGGTTGGATCCCATGATCTTAGAGGGTTTTTCCAATCTCAATGATTCCATGATTCCATGATGGCAGGAGGAGACGTTGGGCAGGAGGGTTGGTGCTGAAGACCACCCTAAATCACGGGGTGGCTCCGTGTGGTGGAAAAACTTTTCCTCCAACCCGAGCTGCCAAAGAAAGGCTCAGCAATCTCTTGTTCAGTCTCAAGGCAGTTTATTGCAAGTTTTCTAAAAGATTTTCTTCTCGGGCTGCTGTGGTTTGCTCACAGCTCAGGCAGAGGCACACACACACCCTGACATCCTCTCTGACTCCCGACTGCTTCTTCTCTCCCCGCCCAGGGCTGCTGCTGCCTTTTATATGGTACATTACGTGTTACATGGTTACAGTTTTTCCTCAGTGCCCATTACCTATATTAAATGGTGCTTTTCTATCTTTTATATGGTACATTACGTGTTACATGGGTACAGTTTTTCCCCAATGCCTATTACCTGTATTAAATGGTGCTTTTCTATCTTTTATATGGTACATTACGTGTTACATGGATACAGTTTTTCCCAATGCCTATTACCTATATTAAATGGTGCCTTTCTACTCTAAACCAATCTGTGAGTGCCAACATCACCAAGAACATGGAGGTAAGGAAGGAGAAAGAGAGAGGACAGGGCAGGCCCAAATCCCTCCATCTTAAAACTTCTGACCCCCATGTACAAAACCAAAACCCCCTGTACAGCACTCAGAAATTCTTCCCTCTACTTTGTGACTACTTCTACTCTAATATCTAAACTTTTGTGACTTCTTGTTCTTCCTGCAAAGTTGGTAAATCGTTCCATGACTCAAACCCAAAATCACAGCTGTTTCCAGCTGCCTGCCAGGGTCTCAAATGCTTCTGACCTGGGCCCGGAACATCCAAAAATGTCTGAGGGACATTTTGAGTTCTGACAGGTTGGCAGGAGAGGGCAGCTCTTTCTCACCCCGTCACAGGGTTAACCAAGCACAGTCACAGCCACAGCTTCCAGAAAAACAGTTGAAGGAATTGTTCCAGGAACAACTGGACATGCTCTGTTGTGGCTGACAAGGTGGGGATCAAAGGCTGGACTCGATCTTGGAGGTCTTTTCCACCCTTGGTGATCCTGTGGTTCATCCAGCGGGATGCAGCACCTGGAAGTGATGTCAGCCCTGCTCCTCTCAAAAACTGACCCAACTCCCACCCTGTTCCTTCTGGAACTGGAGATTCCACTATTGGTTTGGACAGATTGGAACATCCTTGCACAACTTTGAAGCCCCATTAATCCTCCCTCCAGTGTGTGTGTATGAATAATAGATTTTCCGTGCTAAAACTATCAAAGCTCCTGCAGCAGCTGCTCGGCTCCCTTGGGCAAATATCCTGGAAAGGAGCTGCAGCAGCAGAGCAGATTTGCATGTTTGATGCATTGCTGTGTCTCAGTTTCAAAGCAGACAATCTGTTGGCTCTCAGCTCCTTGCACACTTGTTGGAGCCAAGGTGCTGGACTGCAGCACAGTAGAAACTGTAGATTTTTTTTTTTTTTTTGAGACACTGAGAAGTTTCTCCCTCCCAGGAGTGCAATTTATATCTTGATTAATCTAAAAGTTTGGGGCTTTTATGCTGAGGGGTACAAGTGGATTTTTCAAGGAGTGTGGGTAAGAGTAAAGAGGGAAGGAAGGCGTGTGTGGAGTCGCTTTCATCCTGGAAAATCAGCTATGCCGGAGGCAAATGCTGTGCCTCAGTGGAGCAGAGACAATTTCAGGTAATTAATGTTCTTCCTTTACCAGCACTGGGAAAATCAGGGGTTTTAGAGGGAGATTTATACAACTTTATGTCAAAGCTTAGAGCAGCTGTGGAGAGGGGCTGATTCATGAGGGAAGGTTCAGAATGTGCACACAGGAGCTCAGCCCTGAGTCAGGGGTGCTGGGTTGGAGCTGAGGAGGTTTAAGCCACTTTCTTCCATAGCTAGGGAGTTTTTCCAGCCATTTTTTCTTATCCTGACTCAGGCATTCCCCTAAAAAACCCCCCACATTTGGCAAAGAGAGGCAGTAAATCCGTCACACCCCCAAACAGTAGGGAAGAAAACCCCCACCAACGCAAGCCTTCTCTTGCTGACAGCAGTGCAAAAAGAGATTTTTAGAAGCTCTGTGGACAGTCTGACCAGCCAAGAAAGTTTCATCGTGGAGTTTAGAAAGTAAGAACTGCCAAAAATCAAGCTGACATAAAACCACTCATGGACATGAGCCCTAATATCAAAAAGTCCTTATGAAGAGGCCTTGCTGTGGCATAAGGATGAGGATTTAGATTAAAGTTTTGCAAGATTTTGATCACAAAATCCTCTTTCGACCAGCCTGGCCCGCCACAGTTCACTGTGGGAGTTTGCATCTGATTTCACTTCAGAACAGCTCACCAGACACAGAGCTACCAGTCCATGGTGAGGATTTGGCTCGGCTCAACTATGGGATAGAGTCATCCTTGAACTCTTCTCCCATATGCAAAGTCTTTGGCCTTACAAAGTCCTTGGACCTGCAAAGAATTCTCCAGAAATATCCTGCTAAAAGTGCAGGAAAAGGCAGAAAAAAATTAACATTGTTGTTTCTACACCTTCCCCGATTCTAATACAAACAATTTAATTCCCAGACTCTAATGCAAAGAATTTAATTCCTGTCTTCCACCTTCTAATGTGTTATCTGTCCTATATTTGATTATGTGGGATTATAGTGAGAAGATATTATCTTTATCCTTAACAAGAGGAGAAAAGGAAAATATTTACTTTTGTGGCTCATGTATCATTAGCTGGAAGACCTGTGAAGGTGCCTATTGATATTCAGAGGTGACTTCTCTACTCTTAAAGCAGCCCCGAATGTGAGAAACTTCTTCCTCCAGGTTGTAGCTCCACTCCCAAGTTGCCTGACCTTTGGATTTGCATTTCTGTGAGTTTGAGCAGTGCCACAGCCCAGGGGTTGTGAGGGTGCCCTGACAGGAGCACGGAGACCCTTTCCCTCCTGGTTTTCATGCCTGAAGATGATGCCTCAGGGTTTAGCTTTTATATTTTTCAGATTCTGAGCTTCTTTAGTGTGTGGGTCTGAGCTTCATATTATGGGATGGTGAGCTCTCTGCACAGAGCAGGGAGACAAAACAATTCCTGCTCCAGCTGGGACCAAGGACAAATGATCCAAATCTCAGCCCCAGGAGCACAAACACCGTGGGCTGGAGAGAGAAAAACAAGCAGGGTGGGACTGCCTGGGCTGAAGCTGGAATGGGACAATGAACTCCAAGGTGCCAATGGAGCAGAACTGATCCCAGGGAGAGCCCCCGGGAGCGCTCGTGCATTTTGGGGCCATTTTGGTTCATCTTGAGTGCTGCCCAAGGTGGATCCATGGAGGAGATCCTTTTCATAAATCCCTAATTTATTCTTTAGCTCTGCTAAGCCTCTGTTCCAGCTCACTCTTCTCAAGGCATCAAAGATCTCCCTGCTCCCCTAAAAAGCAATTTGCACTCCCTTCCCCAGCAACACCTCGGAGCAGCAGGTAGGATTTGGCTCTCCAGGGGCAAAGGAGATGGTTTTGTACAGGGTGAAATCCTACAGGCAGCAGAAGGATGAACCAAAACAGGAGGCTGAGACTTCTCCCCTTTACCACCTGCAATTTGCAAAACCATTGCTGGGGGCAGTCAACAAAGCCCAAACAAATCCCAAGTGCCTCCCAAACAAAAGGCTAATTTAATTTCAAATTGATTTGCGCTCTCGGTACAAGACACTTGATTTTGTACCTCTCAGCAGTAGCACAGAAATAAAAAGAGCATCTAACACTGATTAACATCTGAGTCACGGCTTGCTGGGTATGTCACACCAGCTGAATTCCACTGTTCCACTGGCACAGGAACTTCCCGACAACATTCAACTTTCCTGGCGGAATTCAGCAGCCCTCCTTCATTTGTGCATATGCTCAGCACATGGTCCCCGAGCTCACAGGCTGATTTTGCCATCTATAAAAGGCAGGCTGACTTTCCATCAATAAGATGCACGTTGCTGTTTGACAAGAACAATGTGCTCAAAGAACGGGCTCACAATAGCTCCTATCAATCAAGCGCTCTGTGGAAAATCAAAGATGACAATGAAACCCACAGCATTAAATAACCCACGGTGCTGGAAATTAATCAGGAATCCTGGGGGCTTGAAAAACAAATGTGTTTTTAATAAATTGGATTTGAGCATCACTTAGAAGCCCTGGATTACCAGCTGAGTGGAGACTGGTTTGATTTGCGCTGATAAACTCCAGGGGAGCTGCTGCCTCTCTATATCCAAGCCACTGATGTCACCCTGAGCCTGCTGGGCTTGGTGACATTTAAGCAATGTGGACACAATTCTTTTTAATGCATACAGAATAGATTTTATTAAAAAAAACAAACAAAAAACAAACAACAACAACAAAACAGTCCAGGGCTCTGATCCTGCTCTCAACAATCCCCAAACAATCCGGGGGTTAATAAGAACCTCTGAGCAGAATTTCAGTAACTGTTCACTCCTTGATGAAAGAAAATGAAGAGCCTGTGACATGAATTGGAGAGGGACTGGGGACAAGGCCTGCAGGGACAGGACACAGGGAATGGCTCCCACTGCCAGAGGGCAGCCATGGATGGGAAATTGGGAATGAGGAATTCCTGGCTGGGCTGGGATTGCCAGAGCAGCTGGGGCTGCCCCTGGATCATCCAAGGAAAGGCTGGACACTGGGGCTGGAGCAGCCTGGGACAGTGGGAGGTGTCCCTGCCATGGTTGAGATGATCTCTCAGGTCCTTTCCAACCCAAACCATTCCATGAGTCTATAAATCAGTGGTGTCACTGTCTGAGTGGAAGAAACTTGGCTGTGACATGAGAAGGGAGGGATAAACCTCTCCAGAAGCAGCACCAAAGGTAAATAACACCAGTATTTTTAAGTGCTCACTAAGCCTACTCTTAACTCACCCTGAGCAAGGGGAGAATGATTTACCTCTGTTTCCATTGCTTTTCCTTCCTGCCTCAAAATTTACAAAGCAGAAAAAGTCTTTCCATTGTTTTCCAACAGACTCCTTCACTCCTTTCCTCCACCCTTTCATTCCAAGAAAACCAGGGTATTTCAGAGAGTCCATTGCTTACCAGGCTACAGACTGAATCCCCCCTCCCATATTCTTGGTCAAACAAAAACATTCTCCAAGGTCAGGGAAACACTGTATACAATTCCTGCATTTGGTTTTTGAAATTAACACCTGAAAAGAGTTCATCTACCAAGAACTAGTTTTTAATAGCACAAAACATCGGAATTTAGCCTGGAATTTGGGGAAGACTTTCGTACCTTATCTATTTCACTGAGTGATGTCTCCTCTTAGGTGACTGCAAATGCAGAAGAGAACTGTACCTCAGAATTTTAATTATTTAATCTACAGAAATATGCAGGAAAACAAGAAACTTTTGAAGAGCAGAGACTTCCAGTTCTGTTCTATCCTGGGAACGGCGAAACAAAGCTGAGAGGTGACAAACTCAAAGTCAAGGTAAAAAGTTATTTTATCAAAGGTTGCTTAATTAATCTGCAAATCTCACTGTCCCAAAATAGCACTGAGGCTTGGAGACTTGAAGGACTGAAAGCAAAGGTGTGAATGCTGTTTTGTCAAATTCAAACAGGCAGCTGAAACAAATGCACTTTTCCAAAAGAGCTCAGAACAGACAAAATACTGCCAAGCTTCAAGGTACAAACCACATCTGGACTATCAAAGGCTTGGGACAAATTCCTCCCAAAACACAGAGCAGGGAAGAGCTGAGCCAGCTGGGAGTCAAATGACACTGGCTGCCCTCAAAAACAGCACCAGGAATTACCCAGCCACTGCTCTGGTCATCCATGGACATCCCCACGTGCCTATCAAAGCCAGGACAAGCATCTCCAGCATCATTAGATGCAAAAATGAGAATATTATCTGAGTGGGTCTCATCTGTAACCAAATTCCCATTGATTTCAGTGGGAACTATCACTCTAATCCACACAGGATTAGCAGACTTCAAAAAAACTTTGAAAGCACAAAACTGGAGGGTTTAAATCCCACTGATCTCAGCTGGAGCTGAGAGCAGATGCAAAAGGAAAGTGCTGAACTCCTCACTTGTGTGGTTTCTTGTCCAGCCCAGCCAATCTCATCCGTCGTGGACTCTTCCCTGCAATTAAGATGATAATTAAGAAATAACAGCATAATATAAATGGAGAGTTGCTGGCTAGCACGGTTAACATCAGGGATAAATTGAGCAGCAATCTGCAAAGGATGTTATTGCCATTATAAAAATAAAGATCTGTCTCCCCAGCCAATCAATTCAGCAGATATATACCAACAATCAAATTGTTAAAAATGACTTCTATAAATTACCCAGTGCTCTGTCTAATGGAGCCAGAAACATCTGTGAGACAATTTAGAGCTGACATAACCATACGTGGGGAGCACTTTTTCATCCTGCTGCCTTTCTGTTCTCCTCAGAGCTGCTGTACTGCAGCAGGCAGCTTTGTTTAATGCACCCGTGTGCAAACAGCCTGGGTTTCACTCCATGGGCTAGCAGGGTCATTTTGGTTTGGAGAAACCTCCACAATACATGCATTTAATATGGGTGAAATAATTCAATTTCCTCAGTATTATTTCAGCTATGCAGTTACAATCTCCTTAATTCTTCGTTAAACCCGCTGGGCTTGGGGGATGTTGCTGGGTTTTTATGATCTGCCACAGTTCTTCTGAATGAGTGTGGAAAGGCACACAGAGGAGCAGTTCTGGTCATGTGTTTTTTAGTCAGATACAGCGGTGATTTCAGATAAATCCAAGTGATTTAGGACCTTGCTTTGGCCAGGGGAGCCCTAGATGGGGCACAAGTAGGGGCTCTGAGGACCTGGTCTAGTGGAAGGTGTCCCTGCCCATGGATGGGTCTTGGAATGAGGTAATTTTTAAGGTCCCTTCCAACCCAAACCATCCTATGATTCTATACTTCTATGGCTGCTTAATGCCAAAAAGGATAAAGGGATTTAAAAGTGGAATGTTCTTCCATTTGCAGTTTTGTCCTGGCCATGCCCCAGCCCAGCTCTTTCCAGCTGGAAGCCATTGAGTGGCACCACTGGAAGCCACCAAATGTCACCACTGGAAGCCACCAAATGGCACCACTGGAAGCCACCAAATGGCACCACTGGAAGCCACCAAATGGCACCTCTGTGCCTGCAGGCTCCTACCAGGGTGTGAATTTTGGGAAGGGACAGGGTGAAATGATGTCCATGCTGGCTCCTGGACTGAGCCATTACTGAAACAAATGAGGAAAATCCTGGCTGGGAAGGGTAGAGATGTCATTGTTTTCCACGAGGGGTGATTTCATGGTCAGGATTCACACCTCAGGCAATCCTGTGAGTTGCAGGAGAAAAGCTGATGGGTTTTCCAAGTCCATGGAAAGTTTGGACAATTGTCCAAGAATCCCTCAGTGACCTTTGCTCTGCATCAGGAATTAAATCCCTGCCTGGCTTCCCAAGGCCCTGCTTCTCCACAGCTGTCAAACCAGCGCTGGTTTTTAATGCAGACAGCAGAGGAGAGTTCATTTCTCTGTCTGGGCACTATGTGTGATAATCCAGGCTCTGTAAATTAAATTTGGGCTGCAATTTAAGTCCACAGGGATTTGGCAAGACCCAGAGCTGCCAGCAAGCAGACGTTGCCATGATCAGCTCCGTGCAGAGCGGATATGGAATGGGAATAAAGCTGGGAACAGTTGGGGCTAAAATCTCATCTGTGTGCAAATGTGGCTGTTCCTAATTTTTCAAATAGGACTTGCACAAGTGGGACCTGCTCGTTTTGAAGCTTTGCAGCTCTGGTGTTGGTTTAAATTAATTTTGCATGAAACTCACTTTCAAATCTTAAAATTAGCTCCAACTTCCCTGGATCCCTCTCGTCTGCTATATGGACAATTTCTTCTCCCTTTCATACTTTAATTCCCCTTTCAAAAACACTCTCCCCTGCACAAAACACACTCTTCTAGATTCTTCTTTGATTCCAGTTATTGTCCCATCTCTTTTCACTCCTTTTATCCATCTATCTCTCTTACATTCATTTTTTCCCCTCTCCATTCACCTGCCTCCACCCAGCATCATCTGTCTCCATGGAAACCACTTTGGAATGATTCCTACATAAACAAGTGGCCAAACGTTGCTTTTTTTTATCCCCCATCGTGATCTTTCCCTTTGAGTTCTTGCTTTCTCTTGACTTCCATGGTTTGGTGGCACTGTCATCTCTGTGGATATTCCCTGAGTATTTCTTTCTCTGCAGCCATCCCCTCCTTCCTCCCATTTCACCCTATATTTTGGAATTCTCTGGGGTTTTGTACCCATCGAGTGGTAGTTTCAATCTAAGGCGGGTTTGGAACTCTCCTGTTCATCAGGAGAGTTATTGCCATTATAAAAATAAAGATCTGTCCATCTTTATGTTCTCCAGTCCATCTCTTCTGATTTGCATCTTCCCCCACCTTCCCCAGGTCTCAATTTGCATATTCTTTCATCTGGGGAGCACAAATTAGGTGACATTAATCTGCTTTGCCTGACCTCATTTGATATTCGGGATCTTGTTTATCCCATCATTCATTTTCACCTTCCACTCATCAGCAGTTGTTTACAGCTTTATCTGAATTTCCACTGGGGCACTCCAGGAGCTGCAGAATTCAGCTCCAGCTTCCCAAAGGAGTCACTTCCCCCTAAACTCTCTCTATTACCTCTGTTAACTAAACACACTTAATAACACCATTCTTCTTCTTGCCTTCTGGCTGATGAAACCCAAGATCATGTTTGACTTCTCTTTTCTCCCCTTTCCTACCGAATACCGCAAAAATCCACCCCTCCCTTATTTGTCCTGACAGCTAAATTACCTTCCCACCTTTCCTAAATCAATATGCCACTGTCTATCTCTGCTTCATCAATCCCTAAAATGTTGCTCCCGTGGCACTGATGACAAGGCACTGCTTCTCCTGGAGCCAAGCACCTTGAGATACACAACTCATGCTCAGCGATCCTGAGAGCCTGGCACAGGTTTTCCAGGGAAGCTGGATCCCTGGAAGTGTCCAAAGCTGGGCTTGGAACAACTTGGGATAGTGGAAGGTGTCCCATGGCAGGGGGTGGCACTGGGTGATCTTTAAGGTCTCTTCCAACCCAAACCATTCTGAGATTCAGTGATGAATAACTGATAACATCACAATCTGTGTCCCATTTTTCCCAGACTCTCTAGACATGCTGAGATGTCTCACTTGATTTTCGTGCCTCCTGAGGAGGGCAAAATTCAGAGAGCAGGTTAATAAATGCTTAATTTTCTTAATGGCCTAGTATCCTCAGCCAGGGAACACTCATCCTGTAGCAGACTGATTTCATGGCAAGGTGAATCTATTTTGGGCAAGGCCCATCCCTTTTGTGCCAAACTCTGCACCTCGTTTTCTGACTGGGAGAGTGACTACCAGCAGCAATAATAATTCCAAATGTTAACAGGCAGAGAGCCCTTGCTCCTCCACACCCTCAGCCCCCACACAGTCGCTTATCCCTGAGCACAGGAGGTGTTCCCATCCTTCTCTGTGTCCTTCCCAGCATGGAATTGGCTACTTCCAGCATGTACAAAACCAAAACCCCCCTGTACAGCACTCAAAAATTCTTCCCTCTACTTTGTGACTACTTCTACTCTAATATCTAAATTTTGTGACTTCTTGTTCTTCCTGCAAGGTTGGTAAATCATTCCATGGTTCAAACCCAAAATCACAGCTGTTTCCAGCTGCCTGCCAGGGTCTCAAATGCTTCTGACCTGGACCTGGAACATCCAAAAATGTCTGAGGGACATTTTGGGTTCCAACAGGAGAAGAAGAGATAAACAAGGGGCTTGCAGTTAGATTTTGGTGGAAAGCAGTAGTGGAGACCACCTTGCACCAATGAACATTGTGTTGATTTATTGTGGCCATGAATAGGTATAAACTTTGTGAGGAGGTATAAAAAGACAGCATGCTGCTAAAATGAAAAACTGGGAGAAATTCTTAAATGCATGGCGTTCTTCTGTTTGTTACAACCATCTCAAGGACACATTTGAACCTGAATTTCCAATTTCCCCATACCTCTGCCCATCTGAGCTGTCCTTGGAGCAGCTGGAGTGGATCCAGGGTGTCAGTGGGATCCTGCAGAGCACAGCAGGGCTGTCCTACATGGACACGCTTGAGATACCCAGAGAAGCAGCAGGGGCATGTTGGGGTTATTTGGTAAGACTTTAACAGTGTGAAAGTTGGTTTTTTTTTTTTTTTTAGTTTGGTTGTTGAAGAAAAGGTGAAGTTGAGTTTTTAAAGTTGTTTATTTTTTCTTATTTCTAATAGTTTTGTTTTTTTTTTTTAATTTGCTGAGGTTTAGTTAGTATAGAAGTTATGGTATTTTTTTTTTTTAGTTTTGGGTGTTTCTTATATACACAAAATTATGTGTATTATGTTTATAGTTTTTGTACTAATATTTAAAATTTATGTTGGACTGTGTGTTTCTATTTTAGACTAATAGAAAAGTGTTATTATTATACTAAGGTATGGAGGATAAAAAGAACAAGAAGAAGGTTAGGATACACTTAATTTTTTTATTTTGTCTTTTGAATTACATTCTAAAAAAATTTTTAAATTCCACTTTTCTATTTTGTGTTAATTTTTTTCTATTATACTACTTAAACTTTTTTGGTTTGTAATTCTTTATATAAGGTTGGCAGCCTCTCCCATGGGCTAAAATCGAAGCCACAGGTGGTTTTGATTTGTTGCTAAGGTTTTTGGGTTCTTTGTTAGGGTTTTGAGTTATCTGGGGTAGTTATAGAGTGATGCTTTGGACTCTGACAGGGGCACCGTGCTTGAACTTTGCATTTCTGCAGCAGCACAGCAGTTCAGACAGCCAGAACAATGACAGTGGGGTAATGAACTGGATGGGATGAGGAGAGGGAGGCGGAAGACCCACAGCATTCCTGCTTCTTGCATTGGTACTGAGCCATGGGAATGCTGGTTTAGTATCATATTTGATAATGCTGCATGTCCAAATACTGCAAAGCCCTTTGATGTGAGTGTTTATACACTATTCTGTTATGGAGACAGCCTGGGAGAGCTGGGGGTTTTCACCTGGAGAAGGGAAGGCTCTGGGGAGACCTTGCAGCCTCTTCCAGTGTCTAAAGGAGCTTCCAGAAAGGAGGCTGAGGGACATTTTATACCGGCAGGACAGAGGGAGTGGTTTTAAACTGACAGAGGGCAGGGCTAGATTAGATATTAGGAATAAATTCTTTATTCAGAATATCTAAGTATTAGAACAGGGTGCCCAGAGAAGCTGTGGCTGCTCCTGTATCCCTGGAAGTGTCCATGGCCAGGTTGGACAGTGGGAAGTGTCCCTGCCCACGGCAGGAGGTTGGAATGGGATGAGCTTTAAGGTCCCTTCCCCTTGAATTTGTTTTTGTGTTTCTCTGGTTTACATTGGCTGATTTGTCTCTGCAGGCAATGGAGGGAGACTGGAGCTGCTCCAAGGGTGTTGCTGAGCAGAAGGTTAGGACAGGTGAAACAGGGAAGGTCTCCTGCCCAGGAGAAAACAAAGATTAACCCCCCAGCTAGTTTAATGTGGAGATGCAGATCCCTCACAAGGAATCTTTGTTGATCCCACAGCCATCCTGAGCCTGGTCTAACTGGAGATGTGTCTGTGTGCAAAGCTGAGCACTCCAGGGTGGGATGAGGCACTTTCTGTCATAACCTGTCATATTAAACACCAGTGGAGCCCAGGCTGATGTGATCCAAGCCAGCAGACTGTGTTACCCTCGTGTTCCATGCTGGCAACACGTGCAGTATGTCAGAGCACTTAGTCAGGCAAGGCAGTGACATAAATAAAATAAAACTCAGCTGTTCTCTTAGCATCTATTTCATTTTTCCATCTGCAGTCACAATGGGGGAATAACTAATTCAAATCAGAACATCCCCAGCATGGATTTAGCACTGCTGCTAAATTCCATGTCGTGCTACCACCACTTTCAAACCCCAGAATGAAAACACCAAGTGAAATCACCTTTGGGAAGAAAAGACAAATGCAGCATTTCCTAGACAGAGGAACACATCACATCAAGAACCCGAGGTCTGCATCAAATGCACGACGACAATTCCCTTTCAGAAAACATCCCAGTGGTTCTGTTATTCCAATTTACACTGTGAATTGTGGATTTGCTTCCAGATGAAATAGAGTTGCCAGGTCTCAATTTAAAGTAGACTCAGAAAACAGGGAAAAATTGGGTCATTCCACTGAAAAAAAAAATATAGGCAGGCAGGCATGACCTCTTCTTTAATTTAAGGACCTGAATTTTACCAAACCATAGACAGGAACATAAGAAAAAATATCCCAGCTCACCCCAAAGGTGTATCTTGTTCAGTGTCTTGCTCAAACACCCAAACAGACTTGTTTGGTGTCTCTCCCAGCCTCCAGAAATTTGTAGATAATGAATTTTGTATGTCTTAATTACCATCTTAGTGTTTAATAACTTTTGGGGGCTTTATCCACTCTTGCTGCTCTGAGCTGCTTGGGACATTTCAGCACCCACCTCTTGCAGGAGGAAGTGGGAGGCCTTTCCTTCTCTGCTCCTCATTTCACTGATGTTCCCTTAATTCTTGGCTTTAAAAGTCTGTGAACAACTGTTTCCAACTCACTTTCTCCAAGACCTTAATATTTTTATAGATTTCTAACATAATTCTCCCTTTCCCCTTATTTTTTCCCCATTTTCCCTGTGGTACCTCTATGGCCATTCCTGCTGTGGGAGTCACCCTACTGATTCCCAACCTTCCCATATAACCTTTTCCTTCCCATATAACCTTTTCCAGCTGCACTTTATCCTTCCCAAGACCAGGAATCCAGTGTTACACACAGTGCTCATGGCACACACACACAAAACCCAAGGAAATATTGGCAAAATCAGAGCTGTGTTGACCTTCTGTGGCTGCCCAAGGAAATGAAGGAGAGGGAATGGTGATAAATTGATGAAGAAAAAAAATTTGGAAAATGGAGACAAAGGCTGAGGGCTCCCAGCTTCTCTAAAAATAATGAAAAATCATAAAGAAGCAGCAAAGCATCCCAAAATTTGTCTCCTATGTCCTGATTAAGGACATTGCCTTGCATCAATACAGACATTTGGTGTAAATTAGGATGTCTCTGGTGATATTGCAGGAGGCAGGAAACCCTTCAGCACCTGGTCATTCATTTGCCAAATGTTCAGGGATTTGCAGAGGTTAAACAGGCTCCATAAATGTCAGATGTCGACAGCACTACTTTCAGCAATAATAAACTTGAAGCAGAAGAAAGTTCCCTTAAAATATCAACCTTTCACCCAGCAGGGCTCCTTCCAGCCTTTAAAAGATGCTGCATATTACTGGCCCATAAATAATGGTAGTGAAAAGGTCAAGCAACCTGTTAGGAAAATCTCCCTGCTCAGTGAATAAACTTGGAAAATCACAGCTGGTGTGAAAATCCAGTGTTACAGCCTTGTTTCTTTTGTGTCCAGCCTATCTTAATTCACAGAGCTAAACCCTGTCCTTGCTCTGAAATGATCTTGAAGCGACTGCATCACGTGTCAGAGTTGGCTGAGGATGAGCTTTTAACCCATTTTTCCTGATGAGCTTAGCAATGTCTTTTAGAAGAAAGTTTTGCTCTTTAAAATATATTTTTCTTCCACAGGAAATTTTTCAAAAAATTTTTAAACAAATATTTTACTGGAGGCAAAAAAAAAAAAAAAAAAACAACCAAAACAACAAAAACCCAAACAAACCAACCAAAAAAAAAATTCAAGAAAGTATAAAAGAAAAGAAATGTGGTAAGGAGGATGCAGCACATGCAAAGTCAGGCTCTGCTCCCAGGGAACAGGGACAGGAGGAGAAGGAATGGCCTCAAGCTGGGCCAGGGGAGCCTCACGGCGGATTTTGGGAAAATTCCTTCCCAAAGGGGTTGTCCAGCCCTGGCACAGCTGTCCAGGGCAGTGATGGAATCCCCTCCCTGAAAGTGCTCAAAAAAATGTGTGGATGTGGCACATGATTTAATTTGGACATGATTTAATGGCAACCACAGTGTTGTGTTGACAGTTGGACTCAATGATCTTTTCCAACCTTAAGAATTCTATGATTCTATGAATAAAAATATATTACTCAACACAGATCACCCAATATATTTTTTCCCAACACTGCCAGAAAGCAGCATCTCTTTTTCTTTTCCTCCTCTTTTTTCCCTGTTGTTTCCAAACACTGAACATCCCTGGGAAAACAAGAAGCGACTCAGAATTTACAGCAGGTTTTTTATTTTCCCCCATTAGATTGCAATAAAGATTAGGTAGGTCAGCGCTGTGCTGCTCAAAAGTTTATTTACTTCCCACTGTGATTTCTCCTTGAAAGAGTAAGGGCAGAGTAACCTTTGGATCTTCAAAAGCTCTGTCACTGCTGTGATTACTCCAAGAGAAATTTGTGTATTGTTGGGCCGCCAGAGATTCCCGTTAATAGCTCAGGTGAGCTGACAGAGGAGCCACGGCTCCTTGGATGTTTCTATCCTGCATCTCATTAATTAATCTACTCCAGCCAGCTCTTCCTGATCCATTGTATATTCCCTGCTTATGCAGCCTTATCGACCCGACCCTGGGGAAAATCAATTCGTGTAATCTATCTTATTACATTTAAATATATGTACAGAGCGTGATACAGTACAACAGCAGCGGGGCTTGGGAGAGGCAGGGAAAATAAAAGTCTGGGAAGGAGGAGGAAAAGCTCTGCAGATCTGCCCCAGTTTAGGTTTTTTCCATGTTCAGGCCAATACAAACTAAGAATAAGGACTTAGGGAAATGGGTCACTTTCATCTCAGGTGAGGGCAAGCACAACCTGGGATATAAATTCCCAGAAATCCATGGTCATGTTCCCAAGGCTGCTGGAGCTCAGGAGCACTGGACAGTGCTCCCAGGAACAGGGTGGGATTGTTGGGGTGCCTCTGCAGGGCCAGGAGCTGGATCTTTGTTGATCCCTTCTACCTCAGTGATTCCATAAAAAGCCTGCAGAGTTCATGCTTTTAACTCTGGATTTCCCTGCTGTTTTAGTCAAAATACAGTGTCTTTAAAAGCAAACCCATTTTTATTCACCAGTCCAATAAAAACTACATCATTATCCTTTTGTCATATTAAATCTGCTTTCATATTTAATTAGAATTTGATAGATAAGATGACCTGAGTTTTCTCAGGGGTTGTTGTCCACAGAAGCTGTGGCTGCCCCTGATCCATGGAATGTCCAAGGCCAGGCTGGACAGGGCTTGGAGCATCCTGGGATGGTGGGAGGTGTCCCTGCCATGGCAGGGGGTGGAACTGGGTGATCTTGAAGGTCCCTTCCCACCCAAACTATTCCATAATTCTGTAACTAGGCTGACAAAAAAAAAATATATATAAGGCCAACAAAAAATGATCTGGGGATGTAAAGAACTCATTTTGATACCTGGGAAAACCATGGAGGGATTCTTCCTGTAACATATCCTTGGTTCAAGAAGGAGAATAAACAAGCAGGAAGGGTTAGCATGGATTTTTCAAGCATAAATCATTCCTGGCCAGTTTAACCAGGCTCTTCATGGTGATGTTTTGTGGGAGGATGCCTCAGGTTTTTGCTTTTATATTTTTTACATTCCGAGCTGCTTTAGTGTGTGGGTCTGGCCTTCACATTATGGGATGGTGAGCTCTCTGCACAAGGCAGGGAGACAAAACAATTCCTGCTCCAGCTGGGCACCAAGGACAAATGATCCAAATCTCAGCCCAGGAGCACAAACACCGTGGGCTGGAGAGAGAAAAACAAGCAGGATGGGACTGCCTGGGCTAAAGCTGGAATGGGACAATGAACTCCAAGGTGCCAATGGAGCAGAACTGATCCCAGGGAGAGCCCCTGGGAGCTCTCATGCATTTTGGGACCATTTTGGTTCATTTGGGTGCAGCCCTGGCTGGGCTCTGGTGCTGCCCAAGGTGGATCCATGGAGGAGATCCTTTCCATAAATCCCGAATTTATCCTTTAGCTCCGCCCAGTCTCTGCTCCAGCTCAGCCTTCTCAAGGCATCAGGAGGACTTGGAGAGAGGGGACACTAAAGCAGGAGAGGTTCAGACTGGAAATAAGGACAAATTTTTACATGAGACTGGTCAGGCATTAGCAGAAGTTTCCCAGCAAGGCTTTGGTCACTGCTGACCAGGATAAAAGGATCTCATGTGGATAACTGAAAGAAGGAATTACATCCAGAAGGGAAATAATTGAATCTATTTTCTTTATTTTGACTTCCAGTAAGTGAGAAGCAGAACCCATCAAGGAATCAGAAGTTGATGTGAGGCACCAAAAACCCTCCAAAGACAGAGGATGGGTACATTGAAGCTGATTTGGAGAACAGGTAGAACTGTTAATGTGAGCTGATTTTTTTTGTTAAAAAGAAGTGAATGCCTTTAAAAGTGGCCAATAAAAGCCCTGGGGATTATTCATCTAAGGAAAGGCAGCACAGAGGGTTCGTGTCTGGCGTTGTCCCATTTTTCCTATGTGCTTATTTGAGATAGAAAAAGGGTGAATTTGCTGAATCCATAAAAGCCTTCCTGTGACCCAGAACTGTTGAGTTTTATTTTATTTTTATTCTAGGGTTGGCATTAAATGTGTGAGATGCTATTTCTTGTTTGGATTTAGATGTTTATTCATTCTTATTTATATTATAGTTTTACAAATTGTGAGTTTTACAGCACGTCACTCTAATAAGTTAAAAATGGAGCCCTATCTCTCTCTCTACAAGGTCTTTTAAGGATAAACTGTCTATTTTAGAAATGATACTTCAACTGTTTTTACTTTTAACTTAACTAACT